AGCACGGGTTCGTTATCATTCTCCAAAGGAGATGTGTCAGATTCAGAGTTCTTGGAGTCTGCTAGCAGAAAACCAGCACAAAAACCTAGTCAGTACGCAAGAACTATCTGTGGGTAGCAGGTAGACAGGGTTGAAGGAAAACATATGGCTGAATAAAGTCAGGATGAGGGTGCAGCCAGTGAGCAGCAGGTCTCTTGGAGGAGGGCAGTAGCTCTACTTCTGAGAGCCTGCAGGGGACTATGGGCTGCAGAGGAGGAAGAATTAGGGAGATATACTGGTAGGTGCCTGGTCAAGGGGTCCCATTTGATTGCACAGACACAGCCACACTGTGCTACTGAAAAGTGGGGGATTTACAAAGGTCAAGAAGGCACTTCTGAGTCATTTCCCCTTCTGCCTCAAAGAGAAGTAAATCTTGGCTGATATAAAGAGCAATTGAAAGTAACAAATAAACTTAGATGAGATAAATTATGTGTTTATAAAACCAAATAGAGCTATCTGGATAGTTTATAACTATGGTATACAAATTTTAAAAGGGTTTTAAACTACTTAAACAAGCCATTATTTTTTCATTTAATTTTTTATTGATATATATGGAAATTTGTCATCTACTGGTGTCATGGTGTTCTGCTGATTAAGGATACCAAATAAACTCAGACACCAGAGTGAAAAGAGCAGGTGTATTTTACTAGTGATAACAGTGTAATACAGAAAAGATGCAGTGAGAAAAGGCAGAATACTGCACTTAAAGCAGCAAACAGCAAAAATCAGGGTAATGCATTAAATCATTACTACACGAGAGAGAGAATGGAGATTAAGAAAAATACATTATCATCATGCAGATCCGCAGTGGCTGGGGAGCCCCGGTCACAGCGAGGATTTGCAGAGCCTGTCCTGGCAACTGGGAAATCCTACGCAGTGCGTACTCATAGGTGAGGCTTCCAAAGTCGCTGTGAGCGGGCCCAGCCTTATATACCAGAGATTGACAGGCCAGAATAGCTGGCACCTTTGTTTTGAGTGGAAAATTTCTGATTTCATTCTCCTGTTGGATTCCACCCAAAGCCTGGCCAGGGCTCGGGGCGGGGGGGGAACCAAGGGAGTTTCTAACAAGGCCAAATACCTGGGTTCTCAGCCTTGAACAAGGCTGAACAAGGAAAGTTGGATACATTCTCTCCTCACTGCTGATTCTATTTTGTCTAATCTGCATCTTTCACTAGCGAGTTTACGTACTTTGTTAATGATTACAGACTAAGTTAGCAGCTTTGGTTTGGGGCCTGTTGTTCAGGCTTCAGTACTTCAAAGCTTTAGCACCTTTTACATCAGCATAAGTGTGTTGTTATAACTTAGTATAATACCTACTAGCACAAGGGTTATTAGTTGTAAAATATACAGGATTCATCTATGGGTCAACTCTGGCTTGGGCCAGTTGTGCAAGCCTTAGCACTTCACATGGATATATAGCCTTGCTCTATCAATGTGATAATCTCATAAGTAATAGTCTTATAAATTACTTATGGATGTTCAGGGTTAAGTACATTTTTGGAAAAAAAGAGTCAAAAAAGCAGTACGAATTCCTTACTTTATATGCTTCTCCTTCTCTCCATTATTTTCCTCAACTCTCAAAAAAAAAAAAAAAAAAAAAAAAAAGGCCTTTTCTTAGATCTCAAAAATTAAAATAACAGGCTTCACAACCAATGCATCCTAGATGATTGCCTACATATCTAATGGAGCTAATGGAGTCAGATAGGCGTGTCTTGGGGGGGGTTAAATCATAGGTGAGATTAGCTCCCCTAATGCTCATCTATAATCACTCCACTGATGATTATAAGCCTAAACCACCGTTAGTTGTATTGAGACATTTTTGGTTTTAAGGTATAGTTAAACACCTAACAGGAACCAAGTGACCATGTCACTCTGAGGGTAACCTCTATGATTAACTAATTTTTCTTCCTTCATTTTAATCTGGCAGCAGAATGTCACTGCTAGAAATAAGCTCTAAAGAAAGATAGACCAAGTCATACACCCACAGCCAACTGTCTACAGTAGAAAAAAACCTTTAAGGAACCCTGCTTAAGGATTTTCTCCCGATATTGTTTTGCATCGATCTGGGAGAGCTTGGAGTGGTGTCAGTAGGCTGCTGTTCTAGCTCTAGTTACACAAAGGCCTTGCTTGCAGGGCATCAACATCAGACCAATCCGTCGTGCTACAGATATTTGCTTTCCTTGTCCTTCTTTTTGCTCCCTGAAGACTCCAAACGTATTTTTTATTTCCCAAACCAAAACCATAAATAAGAAGAAACCCCAGTGACAGGTGGCACTGTACAAATACGAAGCTACATATGTGTCATGTTTTTCCCCTCTTAAAAGAGAAGAAATACCCACAAGGACCTGCTCCTACAGATGCAGCAGGGTAAACTCCATCATGACAGGACATTTCCGGAGCTCTGTACAGCACTGTTTATGGACATAGAGATTGGTTTTCTCCATATGGAAAAAGTCCTGTGTCATTGTATAATCACAGACTGATCTAATGCTCCCAGCCTCAGCAAGACACCTGGGTGGAGGGAGCACAGAGCAAGGATAACTGGACTGGAAGTACTCCTTGTTCCTCTCACTACCCAGAGACACAAGTCATCATAACTGTCACTTTGAGAGCTTGGATCCAGAGATCTGTAACCTCTGTCACCAGACCATTTGGTAGGAGTTCCTAAGACAGGTAGGTATGAGTTAGGGGTGGTCTGGGACATTCTTCCTCTCCTTTTCTACTGCTGGCTGGTTTATCCCAGATCCAGGGAGAGCTAATGGTGTTCAAATCATCATGATACACAAAGCAATCCCTCCATATCTCTACTCCCCAAGAAAAGTTTTGTGCTGGGAAGGGCAAGATGCTGCAAACTTGCTGCTTTCTCAGATTCTCTGTAGACCCTCTTTCTTCCCAGGCCTCTGGCTGAAGATGTTATTTGCCCTAGTGATGGCAATGTGATTACATCACTGAAGGAGGGTCACATGGACCATATAGAATCATAGAATGGTTTGTGTTGGAAGGGACCTTAAAGACCATCTAGTGCCAACTCCCCTACCATGGGCAGGGACACCTTCCACTAGGTCAGGTTGCTCAAAGCCTCATCCAGCCTGGCCTGAACACTGCCAGGGAGGAGCCACAGCTGCTCTGGGCAACCTCTTTCAGTGTCTCACCACTCTCAAAGTAAATAATTTATTCCTTGTATCTCATCTACATCTGCCCTCTTTTTGTTTAAAACCATTACCCCTCATCCTACTACTACACTCCCTGATAAAGAGTCCTTCCTCATTTTTCATGTAGGCCCCCTTTAAGTACTAGAGAGCTGCTATAAGGTCTCTGCAAAACCTTCTCTTCTTTAGGCTGAGCAACTCAAACTCTCTAAACCTGTCCTCATAGGGAAGGTTCTCTAGGCCCTTGATCATCTTCATGACCCTCCTCTGGATCCACTTGAGCAGGTCCTTATGCTACAGTCCCCAGAGCTGACAAAGTACTCCAGGAAGGGTCTCACCAGAGCAGAATACAGGGCAAGAATCCCCTCCCTTGATCTGCTGGCCACACTTCTCTTGATGCAGCCCAGGATACAGTTGGCTTTCTGGGCTGCAAAGTGCACATTGCTGGCTCATAGTCAGTTTTCCATCCACTAATATCCCCAAGTCCTTCTCTGCAGGGCTGCTCTCAATGTACTTATTGTCCAGTCTGTATTTGTGCATGGGATTGCCTTGACCCATGGGCAGGACCCTTGCACTTGGCCTTGTTGAATTTCATGAAGTTTGCACAGCCCATCTCTCCAGCCTGTCCAGGTCCCTCTGGATGGCACATCCCTTCCCTCCAGTGTGTTGACCGCACCACACAGCTTGGTGTTAGCAAACTTGCTGAGGGTGCACTTGATCCCACTGTCCACGTCGCCAGCAAAGATATTTGACATATCTGAGCCTGCAACACTGCAATATATGTAACGTGTACAGCAAGGCTACAGAAATTTGGGCAAATCTGTGTGATGTTCATTTAGAGCTTGTGCTAAAACTCCTTGCCAAGATTGGTCATTTTGTGCCCACTGAAGCTGGATGCCTACACAGAGGTTGTAACATCTAGGATTCAGAAATTTTTATTTCTGTCCCATATGTTGCTCTTAAAATAAACAGGTCAGACAGCAATTTATCCTTCAGTTCTCCAGGCTGCCATCTAATGTCAAAAAGCTTTTTGTCTCCTGTGCAACCCAAGAATTACACCCTTTATCTCATGGACTGATTAATCTCATCAAGAGTTACGCAGAAAGTCTTGCTACAGTCTGTCACACAAACTCAGTCTTCTTGTCTCCATCCAGGACTGTGACTGGAGGGATGAAGAAAGCCTTGTACTCTCTCCTGAACTCCACCTTTTTGCCTCTTTGACTGTCAATACAGATTATGTTGCAAGCAGACAGAATTGTGTGCCATTCACATACACACTCCCAGACATTATCAGACAGTCTTTGGCATAGATGGAGCACTGGCCTGACCCACACTTGGCTGCTGGCTCTTCTTACAGTCCTTTCATTCACATTCCCAGCTGTGTGTTGCTATACAGTTTAGGATGATGTTTAATTCACTTAATGACAGAGCTGATGTAGTGAGGGGGCAGAATCATAACTTTCCAGCGGGAAGTGAATTCTGGTTTTGTATTCTAGTTTCATCCAAATCTACCATCAATTTATGGAAAACAAACCAACCCTGTTTATTATCACAATTGTGTTTCAGTAAACAAAATCACCCGGTTTTATTCCCAAAGGTCATGTACTCATATGTTAATATTAAAAATGCTTTTTAAAAGTGAACAGAAATGAAGTCCTTGCAGTACAGTTGCAGATGTGGTTTATGGGAGGTGGCTGGGTTCCAGCCCACCACTGATGCATTCTCTTTGCCAGAGGAGAAATAGTGTGCAACAGTGTTTGAAAACAGTATTATTAAACAGCGCATTGAAAGGCTGGAAGGTGCCTTGTGGCACCCCCACCCCCCCACCCCCCCTTTGGATGAGTCCTCTGTGCTATTTTGAGAAATGAACAACTTCCACTGCTTGGCTAGTTTGTTAATAATTTCTGATCAGAATGGGAGGATGCAGGAGAGAGGATGTCCTTTTGCTGGTCAGTCCCACCAGAGACTGTGTAAATTGTTCAGGCTACTCCAATTGTTAAGAGATCCCAGTGCCCTCTTCTGGCTGGTACTGGCCATACTGACACTTTCATCTGTCATGAATTAGGGATTTGCAGAGGTCTAACATCTTGCTTTTTTCATCTTTGTTTTTTAATGCCAGTTTATGCCAGTATCACCATACCAACCAGTCTCCTTGAAAGTGGTTGAGCTCCTATCTATTCCTCTTTTTGCCTCAAATTCATAAACCATCTCTCCCCATTTGTCTTGCTTGGAGAAATAAAGATCATTCCCTTCTAACAGCTGGACTTGGGGTGGATCGCCAGAGTCCGATACGTTGCCAGCAGCCTGTGGGAGATCAGGGTCTAACTCTAGAACCATGTCGTAAATATGGCTGAAGGACTCCTCCTCTGGTGCTTCGCTCCCAAAGTAAACAGAGTCGTAGTCCTGCATGTCAACACAAGGAGATGCTTCTGCAAGCCTGGCAGCCTCCAATTCCCTGTGGAGAGAGAAGGGAAAAAGTGATGCTTACCCCCATCCTGCTGCTGGGGTATGATTTGGCGGTACCTCTCTGCTGGACTCGTGGCCAGCTCACATTGTTATCCAGAAGCATTCAGCATCAGAAATTATCATCTACCTGCTCCTGGCATGAAACACCACATGATTTTCCTTCAGTGTGGAAAACCACGCGATGCTCTGGAACTGGTGTGTGTCACATGCTGCCTCAGTGCTGCTGCAGCAGCGAGCTGGTGGGCTGGCAGTGGGTGTCACATACAGCACATGGCTGGTAATAGGGAGCTGTGCTAATCTCACTGCAGCAGCCTTACATGCTGCTTTTAGTTCAGGGCTTCTTTTTTTAAGATCAGAGGCATAGTGCTGTAGACAAGTTTCTATGTCTGCTTTCCATACCCTGCACTCAGATTTTAGGAGGTGTTTTCCATTAAAAGCACAGATAGAGACAAGCAAAAATGTTCAAATGTTTATATCTGTCTGTTAGTTTAAAGACTTCCTCAAGTAGGCAACTATGCATGACCATGCCTCAGAAAATACATGCTGAAATTTACCACATTTTAGCATTTAAAAACTTTTAATGATGACACTTGTGGCATATCTACAACAGACACCAGATATCTATCCTGTTGAAGTGAATGGCCAGATTCCCCATGACGCTGCAGAGGCTGGGGTTTGTCCTGCAGAGGGAAGTGATTTCCCCTTTGTAGCTCTGTGTTCTGCTGTGACTCTGCAAGGTAGTGAGCAGAGGAGGTTGGCACCCGGTTTTCTGCTACTTTACATTATCTTTACATAGCCTAACAGGAAACAATATAAACTACCTAGGGAGCAGACAGCAAGTTTCTGTGCTTTGGGGAATTTGGTGAAGGCAAATGCATCAGACAGAACCATTCCAAGACAATTTATCTGACCGTGGAATATTAACTCCAATATTGTATTGTTGGTATCTCAACAACTCTCCTGCTCTTCATCCTCCTGCTGAGAATTTGCAACAAACTTTGGGCAGATAATATGAGAAGCCTCCATCTGAACGTTCTTCCAAAATTTATGAAGAGGCAGATTGCACTGGGGATGTGCACACAGAAAGGCACAGACCTTCCACAGCATGGGGCCCACTCCACCAAGACATGCGTGAAGCTCTGCAGAAGTCAGCTGCTGTCCTACCTGACTGCCTGCTGCTGTCCTACCACAACGCTGAGTCTCTGTGAGACAGCACAGCAATGCCTGTGGGACCATGAGTCTGCTCTCCTACTGCAAGCAATCAACCCAGCAATACATGGCTCTGTGCTGGCTCATTTATCCTCCTATCCATGGGACTCTTGGGTCTTGATTAAATGCAAACGAATTTGTCTAACTAGTTCTACCACAGCTCTACCCAAGACAGTTGTAGTTCTCCCAAATGTCAGCCAAAGCACAGAAGGGTACTTGCATAAAATTTTCTCCGCTTTCCTCCTCACCTGCTCCTCTCACAAAATTTACATTTTTAGGAACACAACTATTCCAGAAAAAAAAAAATCAGTGTTGGCCTTGATTCAGTCTATGAACTAAAGGTCGGGGGACTTCCCTGGGCTAAGAGTAACCCCTATGGATATTATTAATCACTTACCAATGGGATTGAATGTGCAGTTACAAAGATGTGCAAAAAAGGAGTGCAAGTGAATATTATTACCTGACTGCCTGTTTTTCCTGTTTGATCATCTCTAATATGGCAGAAAATGCAGGTCTCTTGGTAGCGTTGTGATTCCAACAGGCTTTCATGCACTCAATCAGTCTGGCAAGGTTTGGAAAGCCAAAATCATGAGGGATACTTCCTGACTCCGTGAATTTTAGAACCTGTTTTTATTTATTCAGACAACAAAAACAATGTCACATTAGTTTTCTGAGAACTGGTGCCTGGATGTGCAACTTTGCCCCACAACAAACTGGCTAGCAATAAAAATGGTCAAGCTTGCACTGAATTGCATAATAATTGCATAACAAACAGTAATGTTTATGTGTTAATTGAAGTTAGAAGGAATAAATAATTCCTTGAAAAGTGGCTTTGTATGGCTATTGTGTAAATTCCTTAAGATTGCATTTAAGTTCAAACTGCAGCCTTTCATTATTGAAGGTGATAGGAATCTATCAGAGGGAGAGGGAATCTATTTCCAAAAGAAAGAACCTAACTGTATTGAGATCAGTACTCAGCCATCACACCCAGTCAACAAGTTCAAAAGTCATTGTGGTAGAAGAAGGGACCAGGATGTTGACAAATCAATGGACAGAGATAGCACAGCACAATCAAATAGGTCTCCTGCCCTCAGGACCAGACTAAATGCATAAGCAGGGAAAAAGGAGAGACTGCCATGAAACCTGAACACAGCTTTCATACAGGAAAATGTAGAAGAAGAGAAGAGATTATGATTAAAATACACTTTCCTGTCTAAGAAGGGAGTCCTATGGCTCAGAACTGTTGGGGTAGGCAGCGGGTCTGCCACCAGCCTGATTGAAGAAGAGTTTCGCCTTGATAAGACTCCAGTGTACCCTTGAAAAGGAGGAATGTCTGCTGAAAAACCAACATAAGAGGAAGAATGAGCAAGGAAGCAGGATGCAAGAGCTGCAGTGTCACACCTATGGAGGAGCAGATTAGAAGAGTACAGATTAACCAATAGCAATGCTAATGTTAAAAGACAACTATGTGACCAATCACATGAACACATGGTTTTGTAAAAGAAGGGTTTGGAAAATAAAGATTTTTAGACATTTTTCCTGCAACATTCATTTGTTGTGTCTGTCTCTACTGTGACAAATGGTGACCCCAACGTGATAATTTGAAGGCGATGTAATTGCAACAAAGGGGACGTAATAAGAATCTGACGTGATTTTGACACAGAATTTGAGAATTTCTGTGTGGGCTGCATGATGACTTGCAGCGGAGACGGAGCCTGGTGAAGCTGAGAGCAGTGGCAATCTGCCTGGTCCAGACCTGAACTTTGACACCTAATAAGGTGATCCACTAGGAACAAAACTTTAGTTACGGGCCAACAAATAATGAAAGAGGAAGAAACTATATTGTCTACTTGGAAGGCCCTGTTAAAAAGAAAAGGTTTAAAAACCACCAACCAAGGTTTAAGGAGAATGCTTATATGGAGTAAGATGCTAGCACTGTTACTGCATTTAGTGTGAACAAATGGGAAGAATTAGGAGAGAAATTGCTTAAGTGTGCCTTTCAGGGTAATAAGAATGCAACCGACCTTCTTACAACCTGGAGTGTGTTGAAAGAGACTTTAAAGAACTTTAAGGCAAAGAAAGAAAGTTCAGGGGAAACCCCTTAGGCGTCCCTGGTCCAGGTCTCGGCAGCAAGAAGTCAAGATATAGACCTAGCAGGGGGAGCCCATCCTAAACATAGACTGTGGTTGAGGGCGAGGGGATTGTATGAGGACTCTGATGAAGCAGCACAAGACGAGTTGTTCCTCCACAAAGTCTGAATGAGCAGAAAGTCCCTCAGGCAGCTGCCCCTCCACCTCCCATCGTGGAGCCCTCTGCTCCACCACCTCCCTCTGATGAGGAGAAAGCCCTGCACACTTTGCTTATTTGGTGCAAAAGGAATGGGGTCCCTGCTTGATGCACTCTCTGCTCTTGGTCTCGAAACATGGAAGGAGGCAGGGAGCGCCTTATTTGAGGCGGCCATAAGGAAGAATGCCGTCGCTGTGTCATCTTCAACTGCATGGCAACTGGTACGTCAACCCCTGAAACAGTTAAAAAGTTATGGGACTGCTGCAGCAGCTGCAGCTGATGCCAGGTCACCTAGTGGATCTGATTCTTGGACGGATCCTACAGTTGTGGCTGAAATACCTCCAGAAAAGCTGCCAGCCCCTTCCACACGTCCACTACCTGCTGATAAGGATGGCATTTTTCTGTTATTAAAGAACTACAGAAAAGCATTAATGAGGACGGACTTAAAAACTCATTTACAACAGGAGGCAATCCCTCACGGCTGTACTCAGCATTCGTGCCCCCACCTGCAGGCGTGGAGTTGGTGGCAGCGGCCCCGGGGCATCCCTGGCGCCCCCCACCACAGGGCGGCCGCATGCGGCCTCTGGCACCAAGCTCTCGGCCCGCGCCCGCTCCCCCCGTGCACCAAAAGCGGCAGGTTTTACAGCAGGCGTGACACTGTGATGCACTGTCCCTTGTCTGTCAGCACCACATCATCAACAAGCAATGGCTTTATATATTCTGATTGGTGTTTTGCTGTTTGTAGTATCTGTCATTTTATGTTGTGTGAGTAACAAGTGTAAGAGGCCTCTTCATGTGGTTGTGTGATTGTTTTGTGTGTGTGAGACACAGCCCAGCTGTGGAGTTCGAGTGAACATTCTTTAGTACAGAGCCCTAGTGCCCGCCGCTGGGTCACTGGTGCTGCCTGTTTGTTGGGGCTCAGTGTTTTAAGTGTCACAAGTGAAATATCTCCTCTAGCAGGAGGCAGTAATTCTGTGTTAACTGTTGTCTTAAATTTCGGGGTGTACTCTATGGGGAGAGTGCACCTTTGTACTATCTGAACATTGTCAACTTACTTAAGTAGTGTTTTAAGGTAAAGTAGATGAAATAGGAAGCAGCCAGAGTGGAAGAATAGTCAAAAAGAGTCCCCATGGCTGTATTTTAGAACATTGGAAGAAGATAAGGGGACCTCCAAGCACAAGTATAAATAAAAAGACATTGTTAAGGTCCCACTTGATGCGAAAGGACCTATAGGATGAGGATTGAGCACGCTATTCATCAGGAGATCTAGCAGCACTTTTAATTGTGCATGTGGGAATTATTGAAGCCGATTTTACTGGACAAATTTGTGCTATAATTTCTACTCCTTACCCACCAGTAACCATTCCAAAAGGCACTCGCATTGCTCAGCTTGTACCTTTTTGGAGTTGTGTTCCTAAGACAGAACAAAGGTTGTGACACGATGGAGGAATTCGGCTCCACAGGACCTCTGCAAGTCTTCTGGTCACAGACTGTTTCATCATCAAGACCGCAGATGATCTGTACACTATCCAAGAGAGGACAATCGCCAGTGACAGTAACACTCACTGGACTTCTGGACACGGGAGCTGATGTAACTATTATATCTCATTATTCCTGGCCATCCACCTGGCCAACAGAAAATATGGGAATGGGAGTGATAGGACTGGGAGGGTTGACACAAGCAGGAGTAGCAGCTGTGCCAATTCTGATCACCAACCCTGAGGGTCAACAGGCGACCGTCAAACCCTATGTGATGACAGCCCCCCTGAATTTATGGGGGAGGGACTGTTTGCCACAGTGCGGAGTGAAAATCACTGCTGATTTTTGATGGGGTCCACTGTGCTGCAGGGTGTTAAAACAACCCACACTTGCATTGATCTGGCTAACAAATGACCCTGTGTGGGTGGATCAGTGGCCCCTGCCAAGTGAGAAATTAAAGCCCTACAGGATTGGTGGCAGAACAGCTGGCTGCTGGACATATTGAACCTTCTCATAGCCCATGGAATACCCCAGTGTTTGTAATCAAAAAGAAATCAGGAAAATGGAATTTTTACCTGACCTACGGCAAATTAATGCTGTCGTGGCTACGATGGGAGCCCTACAACTGGGCCTACCCTCACCTGCCATGATCCCTGTAGATTGGGAAATCATTGTGATGGATTTAAAAGATTGGTTTTTTACTATCCCATTGGCCTCTCGAGATAAAGAAAAATTTGCATTTTCTGTGCCTTCTTTAAATCATGTAGAACCTTCAAACAGGTATCAATGGAAGGTTTTACCACAAGGCATGAAAAATTTGCCAACAATTTGTCAGTGGTTTGTAGCACAAGCTTTGTCACCTATAAGGGAAAAATTTTCTACTAATTATTGTTACCATTACATGGATAACAACCTGTTAGCATCAAACAGCAAGGAGCAGTTGAACGACATGGAGAATTTGGCCAGAGTCTCATTACAACAATATCAATTAATTATTGCCCCTGAAAAGGTACAAAAGACAGAATCCTGGAAATATTTGGGAATGACAGTCACAAGCAAGCAGGTTGTGCCCCAACCTGTGAAACTCAACCTTGAGGTTAAAACACTCAATAGTGTGGAATGGACCATGTGAGTTATTAATGTGGGGAAGAGGTTATGCTTGTGTCTCCGCAGATCATGGCCCCCAGTGGTTACCAGCAAGATGTGTGCAACCATACCTGAGGCATAAGAGGCAGCTTTGGTTGGACACTCAGGAGCCAGCTGTGGGTGCTGTGGATGCCCCTGTGCCGAGAGTTTGCAGTCTTTTTAACTGATCATTTAAGCAGAATATATGGGTAACGCTTGCTACTGCAATAGGACAAAATACACTATCTCTGTTCTTAATCACACTACGGTCGCCAACTCTTTTAAGAGAAAATGCTAACAGTAATTGCAACTCCTAAATGAAATGTATAGGCTTACTAGTCACTAGTGAAAGATGGAGCTTAGACAGAATGTAGTTATCAATAAGGATGAAATGCTCTAAGAATGTGTGTATTCAACTTCCTTTGTTTAGCAATATTAAGAATTAAGAACTCAAGTGTTTAACCTTATTAGAAACTCCCTTGGTTTCCTCCCTTGAGTGCTGGCCAGGCTCTGGGTGTAACCCAAGAGGAGGATGAAGTCAGATGTTTCTGCTCAAAGAAAATTGCCAGTTATTTTGGCCTGTTGATTTGGAGGCTGGACCTGCTTGCAGCAACTTTGGATGCCTCATCTACAGATGGAGGCATCGTGTAGGATTTCCAGCTTGCAAGGAAAGGTACTCTAAATCCTCACTGCAGCCAGGGTTCCCCAGCAACTGCAGATCATTCTGAATCGATCCATAAGAGCATACAACAGTTAAAAGATGGTGTTAAGCGTTTAACAGAAGATGATGGCTTAGATTGGCTAACAAGGATGTTTAAAGGTTGAGGTCTGTCTGGATGGTTGATATCTCTGGTCAAAACTGTGGGGGTAGTGATTTTGCTAATTGTGAATGTGCTTTTAATGTTGCCTTGTCTTGTCAGTCTTCCGCAAAGGGCCCTGCAGAGAACTGCTCACGCAATATTTTTAGCACAAATACAAAAAGGGGGAATTGTTGGGGCAGGCAGCGGGTCTGCCACCAGCCTGATTGAAGAAGAGTTTTGCCTTGATAAGACTCCAGTGTACCCTTGAAAAGGAGGAATGTCTGCTGAAAAACCAACATAAGAGGAAGAATGAGCAAGGAAGCAGGATGCAAGAGCTGCAGTGTCACACCTATGGAGGAGCAGATTAGAAGAGTACAGATTAACCAATAGCAATGCTAATGTTAAAAGACAACTATGTGACCAATCAAATGAACACACGGTTTTGTAAAGCAGATGTCAAAGAAGGGTTTGGAAAATAAAGATTTTTAGACATTTTTCCTGCAACATTCGTTTGTTGTGTCCGTCTCTACCGCGGCACAGAACACTGTGGGACATTTCTCAGTTGAAATATTGACTGTATTGTGGAGGAAATAATGCCCCCTGATAAAGGCAACATGCACACTTGGAGTGGGAGTGGCAAATTTCTTTCCACACATGAAAGAGAAAAATTGGAAAATGGGTGTCTCCATCCCTAGTGATGTCAGAGTTACAGAGAGGCCAATACTGAGCTTCCCCCCAGAACACCCTTGCCATCCTTACCTCCCTGCTGTCCAGTAAGTGGAAAGGTTTCAGTGGCTTGCACATGTGCAGTTTGGTCAACTGTGCGGTTAAAGCTTCCCATATCATAATCCCAAAGCTAAAGACATCTGATGCTCGGGAATAGAGCCCATCATTTCTCACTTCTGGAGCAGCCCTATTGAAGAAATGAACAGGTTATTGGTCTAACGTATTTCTGAACACCAGAGAACTGCAGGGCAAGGCAAAGCAGAGTGGTCCATGCTTTTCACTGTGGATTCAGAGACTTCAGTTTACACTTTGCATTAGTGACTATGGCTAAGTATCTAAGTAAGAGGAGCAGGGTGACAATGGTGCATCATGGGACATATACCTAAGCTACTGATGGGAAAAGGGGCATAAGGCACAGCAGCATTTTCTCCCATGTTCAGAGTTACAGGAAAATTCTTTTTTTTTGCCAGAATGTCCAAGTTTTCTGCTGGATAAAAAGCCACAAGACAGTTTCTCTGAAACAAAGAAACAAACATGTTCTGCTGGTTGAACCGGTACCAGGTAAGATGTGGAAAACACAACTTTAAAAGAATACCCTAAATTTTTCCTCATTTTCATAGGAGCTGCAGGAAGCACGTGGATATTGTGAACCAGATAGTGGCTAAAGCTGTGGATGGGTAAGGTAGAGTTTGTGGTAAGAAAACGGGCAGAAAAGAGAGAGGAAGTGAAACATAACAATGCACTTACCACTTGGCTGCATCAGCTGGCATAACCTTGCACACATAAGGCTGAAAGAGGTTGTCATCTGTCCCTGGATGTGGCAGACAGACTGCTCTTCCCCAGCGACCAAGTTTTGCCGTTACCTTTCAGGAGACAAGGGGAAGAAGTGGGGGGGATTTAAATCCACAGCGTTTTTCCACTTTTCAGCAAAAGCAGCAAGAATTCAGTAGCTCTAACAGTGCAGGGCTTGCTGGACAGTTTATCTGTGTTCTGCCAATAGTGACCAGCATCACTGCTTCCCAGTTAGGGATTAGTAACAGTGGATTGACCTGTCTTGACACTCATCTAAGCTAAACTTTCAGAAGTTAAGACAGCAATACAGGCTTTCTATACAGCCTTCCTCACAGGACAGAACTGAGCACCTCCAGAAAACAATTAGATACTTCTTCCCCAGAAACCTACCTTGGCATATGATTGTGTTACCACCTGATTAAGAAAAAGTAACTAAAGTTTTTGCAAACCTCTCTGTTCTAATGTAACTAAAAGTGTGACCTTCAACATGTGACAAACCATTTATGACTGTAGTGCTGTGGTCCTTAATGTCCATCTGTTTGCACTTTCCTACTCATTTGCCAAGGGCTCCCTTTGTGCAGGGGTCTACCTGAGTGGAAGTGGATTGTGGTTACAGGCAGCAGTGGTCCAAGCAGAGTTAGGGAATAATCTGAAAAAAGACAGAATGAGTAGAAAGAACAAATACCTCTGGGCAACTGTGATCAGAGTTAATGTAAATGTAACTGCACTGTAGGTCACAGTGTATGATACTCCTGGAATGAAGATATACCATGGCAGAAGCAACCTGCTCAAGGCAAGTGAGAAGTTTGACATCATCCATGCTAGGACTTGCAGCAACTTCTATTAGGGACTTTGGGTTGCCATCAAGACGCTTGGAGGTCTGCAAAAGGGATACATGAGAAAATTAGGGAGCAGATTCAAAGGGTAAACGCTTGCTAGTAAGTTATCACAAACAAAGCAGAGCTCTGCCTCTATATGTGCCCCTCACAGCAGTTTCCTATCTGCCAGGTGTGAATAGCAAGATGCCATGTCTTGCCCTGGATCTATGTGGTTTGCCTACTTTGTGCACTGCTGTGATGAGCAAAGGTTCCTGTGCTATCTCTGAGTGAGCAACAGGCAGAACCCGAAGACCTGCAAGCTGGGGAATATACGGAAGCCAGCACAGAATTAGCTTGTCTACATGCAGGAGAATGTGTTTAGTGTTGCGTAGTGGGGATGGTATTTCACCTTTATCTGATGGGATTTAAAAACTGCACCATCCAAAGACACTACAAACAGTAGTACAGCAATCACAACCGTGTACTGTAGCAGTGCTTGACGAGGGCACCACCTTGCAAAAGACTGGGAAGACACAAACCAGGACAAAGTCTCTGACTCATGGATTTTACAATTCATTGCCTGAAAAAATCCCCTTTATTTATTTCTTCACTCACTACTGTGTAGCTCTTTCAATTCCTGCTGTGGCTCAGTGCTTTATAAAACACTTTACAGTCTCTCAGTGAAAGATGGCAGCTCTCCCCACTGCTGTTCAGCTTCTTGAGATGCAGGAATGGCAGAGTAGCCCAACAGCCATTACCACAAAACTCATCACGCAGACAGTTAAAGCTGCATGGCAATTTCCCTACTCAAGGAAGGACTTAGCAGCCAGAAGACTGCAAATACAACAATCTTGCTCCTTTATCTAACTAGAAGGATCCTCTTCTATACTGTCTGGGATCTCACCCCAACACATGACAAACCCAGACACCAGGTAATATGTCGAAGAAAATTGTTGTATGAGACGGGACTCTTTCCTCCACCACACTTGTATAAATATGCAGAACTTCTCTTTAATTCAGAAGAATCACTCCTGATTAACATGGGAACAAATAAGAGCAGAATTATCCAGTAACGCTTCTCCATAGTATGATAATTGATTTTCAGCCTTGGCCCGTCAGGCCTCTGGGAAAGGAAAATCTATGATACAGTTCTGATGTGATTATGAAAGTCAATTAATTATTGAGAAATAAGCCCATTGATAACAAGGTGAAAATCATTCTGCTGTGGAGTTACACTTCCACCTCCCTTGCTTACAGAAAAAGTAAAAAGCACACAGCTAACTAGTAGCTCCTTATTACCACAGCAAATATTCCTTTTCTGAGGTCTCAATCTCTGCTTTCAAAGGAACAATAGATGACTTTTCTCTCCCTCCTTTGCTCTGACCAAAAAGGAGCTGTACAAACACAGAATTTTTAGCAGGAGCAAATTTACACTTCATGGTTCCTAGAGCCTCTTGTTTCTGCCACTGCACACACTAATGCATGCACACTTGCCACTACCAAAAACCACACAAAGAGAGTAGAAAAAGCTTTCAATTGCAAGATGTTAGAGATGCTTGTAGAGACAGAACATAGGGACTGATTGGCTGTTGACATGACGTGCCTGAGACCATCCTGGTAATCACAGAGACCTACCTGAAGGACCTGCACTAATTCCTGTACCTCATGGCCACATCACTACTGCTGTGGGTCTGCTATTATTGTCACCCATGGAGGTGTCCTTGAGCTAACTCACTCCATAAATGACAGCTGTCATGTTTCTACTCTTGTGTGGCCGAGAAAGGAAGAGAGTCTTCTGTGTGGTTGTACCTGGAGGAAGTGCTGGGGACAACTTCAGCAAGCATCACCAACATATTTTATGATCTCAGATAATGAGGAGTCAACAGGTTTCATCAAGAGGAAAAAGTGCTGTACCCACCCAAGGCATGAGAATGGTGTCTACACAAAATGACTCAGTGTTTTTATACTGATAACCACTGAGTGAGAGATGAAGTCAGTAGTAGTCAGTCACGTAAGCCATGTCTCTGTGATTATAACTGGAAAAATCACTGTACCAGTGAATGTCAGACATGTCTAGGTGAAAACATAAGCTTCTGGAAACTCTGAATCTGAGTTCAGAGCTGATTCCAAGGGAAATCAGAACAGCAGGGATACTAAGGACAACTCTATGACTTTCTGAGATGTAAAGAAGGGAGATCTCAATGGTGTCAGCAGTAAACCTCTATCAAAGAAGAAAATCCTATCCACATGCTTACACACACTCTCTTAGAAATAATTAGTGAGATGTCAGAGCATTCCCTTTATCAAATAGTAAAGATTTACAGTGTTGACAAAGAACAAGAAATATTTCTAAAAAAATATTAAGGTGACTAACATGACCTAGCAGCAGCAGAGGGCACTAGTCAAAACAACATTTGACTTCTTCAAAGCTCAGAGTAACCCTGAGCAGGGCAGTCCCTTCCACCCTGCAAGGCTCTTGGAGGCTCCAGCAGTTCTGTAGGACTCCTGTTTGTATCTCTGCCAGGCTGCTTCCTTTCTCTGGCCGCTCAGCTTTGGGTCCTGATTCAGTTCCACTCTTCTGTCAGGATACTTACGTCAGCTCCTCCCTGTGTGATCCTTGCCCATGCCATGCCATGCCATTACCACCCTCACAGCTTGTGCTCTGAGACCCCTTGGCACCCTCCTCTCCTTGCTTCAGGTGCCCCTGCCCCAGGTGGAAGGAACCCTGTCACAGGTACATCTCCCTGCCTGTCCCACACCCTGTGGGACCTCCCCAGGGACATGCCTGCCCCACGATTCCCACTCCAGGGCTTCCACCACTCCTTCCCGAGCACTGCAATAACCCACACCTGGAATTTGAGAGGTCATGGCTACTGTGACTCTCATTTCATAAATCTATACTCTAGAAAACTCTGATCTCATCATTTTACTATGAAGAAAGAGTTTCCTTTTCTTAGCCCTCCTGATCTCCCAGAGCTCAGTGGACCATTTAAACACAGTCACAAAGGTACTTCCAAATGTAACCACCTTCCACCTGACACAAGCTGTGTTTCAGGAATGCAAGAGAAAAGTGGTAACAATCCATGGAAGACCCACAGTATTAAAGGCATAAGGTCCATATCAGAATTCACATCATGCTTGTGTCAGATATTTCTCTCTGGTTTTCTTCATTGACTCACATCCAAACCCTCAAAAGCTAAACCCTTCTTATAGCTGCATCACATCTGCTCTCTCTTGTCTCCCCTCCAGATCTGAATGCACAGCCATCCCCTGTCAGCACTCTATGCATGGGAAGTCAGGCCACAGACATTGCGCACTTGGTGACAGAAAGCCCCGGCAAAGGTCTCACAAATCATTTCTGCTGCACTCACCAGTGTGGTGGTCATGGGGAAGTAGTGCATGATTTCTTTTACTGGCAGTATGTTCTCATGCTCTAGTGTATGAAGGGCTGTCTTGGTCATATTGTTCATTTTGAATGACACCAACTCACACACGCAGTCATCCTGTAAGAGAGCCTGAAAATCAACTGCTGGTAGCAGCAAGATGCCACCATCTTTATGGAGAAAAGGACAGAATTTGAATCTTATCTGTTATTGCAATATGGCAACCTGTTATGGCCAAGGTCTTCCTTCAACAACCTTAGTAAAACCCAACTGACTTTAAAGGAATGACTAAAACATTACAGTCTTTGTAATGGAACAAAGTTGCATTTACTGGTCCTATCAATTTAATTAGTTTTGTGAATGACTGAAGAATAAAAGAACAGCTTGATGATTTAACTTTGCATAGGAAGAAACAAGTGAAATTTTCCAGGTTTAAGTGCCCCCAAATTTGGGAAACCACAAATACACATCCAAAATCTATTCCAAAATGTTGTTGGCCTAACAGGATCTGCTGTGAAAATACCATTTGTTACTTATACAAAACAAATTATAGGAAACCTGGTTTTACATGCACTTTTTTGTCAGTGAATTTACTCTTAGTGAAAATGCTCATCTTGAAAGTCCCAGAGACAGAAGAACTTCAGCAGGTCAAACTATACCAACAGGAATAAACAAAACCACAAAGAAGTATCACAGAAAAGCTGCAGATATGTAACTTTTTTTCATCACGTTTCTTTTCCAGCTGTCCAAGGATTTTTCCTTATTCCCCTGATTCCTCTTAAACTGGCTTCTCCCATTAAAATGTGCATTTATAAATGATGAAGCCATAAACAACTAATGCAGCTTGACTTGACAATCTCTACAGCACAGACATTTTTGCTTATTAGACTGCCAGAATAATCTTTAAATATTCTGTCTGTCTGAGTTCAAAAATTGCTACTTCTTATCTGAATTCTTCTGTCTCTAGTTACTGGCTCTTGACACAATTTTGACTGCAAGGTTTGAGTATTTCTATTGATAAAGCAGATAAAGTTTTAGAAAACATAAAGTGATAACAATGAAACCAAAGTGATACCTTTTGCTCAACAGTGTCTTCACACTTCTCTGGAAATACATTGAGTGGATCACTCTTCTTGAAATTGCCTGAAGAAACAAGCAAGACAAAGATACAAGGAAGCCTATTTCTCCTCATATGTATATCAGCTGTATGCTGCCATACTGGTGCAGATATCTGAAAAGTTGCTCCTAATTTATCCCTACCAAAGTAAGATCTGTATCAGTCCTCAGATTTTTAAATAAAGTATGTTTAACTGTGGCCGATTTACACAATCACTTCATCAGAACACACTCTTGCAAAAAAATGACTCCCCAGGAAAATAACTTGTTAATCTCCCACCAAAAGGACAAGGTCCCTTCTCCCCTTCATGGTGCTCCCATTTCCAGCACAGCATGTTCTGCCAGCCAAAGATGAAGAAAATGGGAATGCAGAAACTTAGCCCATGCTGTGAGATTGCACTGTGTATCTCTGAAAGCAGCTGAAGTCTTCAGACAATGACCTACTTGCAACACCCTTTATTCTCATCATGTCTGAGGTCTTTCAGGAGTTGAGCACTCAAGATTTCAGTGTTTATAAAGTCTTGAATTCTTAGTGTTGTCCCATCACCTGTGCTC